ATTTAGGTTCTTAAAGGGGTTCTTGTTTTTTTAATTTTTTTTTTTTTTTTTTTTTTTTTGTCCAGTCGCATTCTAACCTTTAAATATCGTTAAACTAATTTCTGTTTCATTTATTATATTTAAAAAAAACCCGATATGCTCCTTATGTTACCGGAACACAGAAGCGTAAAACATGTGTAGCGAATTCATTTTTAAAACGTTTAATCATAACTTATAAAATATGCATATAATTATGTCTGCAWTCTTATCAAATACAAACCGGAATTTTAGAAAAAAGAACCTGTTTTAAAATTTTAGGTTAAACAGTTTCTTAAATTATGTGTGGGTTTTTAATCTAGCGATATATGTTTCTCCATACAGCAGGGCAAAGTCGTTCATTGATTTCCTCATGCCCTCCTAAAAGCCCAAAACTTAAAAAAAACTATTGCCACTTTCACACTCCCAAAAGAAGAACAAATGGTTAAAAACCTGTTAGGATATTAAAAGCTATTTGCTATTAAGCTATATAGCTATTATGTATAGAGAATACCAATCGAAAGGGTTTGAATTGGCGAAAAAGAAAACTTATGTATTGTTCCCTAAGAAATACCTTTTAATTTCAAAATAAATCATCTACTGTTGACTAGTTTGTAGAAGCTATAAAATGAATCTGCTAATGCTAAGGAATGTCAGCAGAAACAAAGCGAAATTAGAATTTTTTTAAGATAAATCCTCAAGCATTAGGAGCTATATTTTAAGCAAATCAAATTATATACATATTACATACGATTTTCTTTTGATTCTAATGTACAAACATTATGGGAAGTGAAATCGGAGGATAAAGGAATGCTTATATTGATGTAAGTTAGTTTATATAGTTACCTTGGCTTCTTAGACTCTGTCTCGTGTTTGACTCGAATGCAAAGCTTAGGACAACCTGAATGATCAACTGCTCGAATAAATGTGTGATATAGTTAGAAACCACCCCATTAAATCCACTCAATAAGGAGACAGGTAGATATGGCTGGTACCAAATATCTGACGTCAGTAGATTGATATTTAATGACGTTATTCAAAATGGAATTCTTTAACATCTTATGTCAATAATATCACAGCACAGCACAAAACAATTTGTTTCTTAGCGTAAAGTTGCTGAAAGTTCTTTTCAGAACTCTTTATATGTATATATATATATATTATATTTGGCTGTATATCTTAATGTGAAGCATTTCATTGGTTAACATTCATTCTAAGTTAGACTTGCGTATCACATGGCAGGTATTAGAAAAAGTCTATATTTGATTGTTTGATTCTTGTCTATTTTCAGTAGTATAGGGAATGGGGGTTCCAGCGCAATCTCAACACGGGCAAGACCCGTGTCAAAAATCCACCTACGGACGACCCCCACTCCAAGTGTGGTTGGGGGCAACAGCGCAAATATGTTAGTCTATATATGGAGTGCGAAGATTGTAAGAGAACTTTTAA